CCTAACCTAACCCTCTAATAATACAAAAATAAACAGCTGTCGTAGGTCGAATGTTGTAGTAGGTCGAATGTTGTAGTAGGTCGAATGTTGTAGTAGGTCGAATGTTGCAGTAGGTCGAATGTTGCAGTAGGTCGAATGTTGTAGTAGGTCGAATGTTGTAGTAGGTCGAATGTTGCAGTAGNAATACAAAAATAAACAGCTGTCGTAGGTCGGATGTTGCAGTAGGTCGGATAAACATTACCTTATAATTAGGTGAAATGGGTCTGTTTATACTGCACAATTTTTGTGGCTTACGTTCATCCGATATTTTGAGTCATAACTTACCCTTGAAAGTCGATTTTCTGTTCCAGAGTTTTCTGGATATCACTGTAAGTTTAAAGGTTTGGGCTTTGGCTAAGGTTTATGATAAGGTTCAGATTCAGACTCAAATTCTTCATCGAGCAAAGAGGATGGATACAAAGTTAAAGTTTCTCCTAACTAGTCCTTTTTTCCCCTTCAAAATGTCGTCTTACCTTTTTCATAAATTTTAAAATATATTGTAGGAGCTGTCTACTGTAATGAGATCCCTTGGGCAGAACCCTACAGATGCTGAAGTCCAGGATATGATAAATGAGGTAAATTTAATTTCCTAAAAGGACGGTGTGCGATATTTAAAAACAGGGTCGTCGTTAGTGGTAATATTTTCAGGTAGATCTGTCGTGGTCGAAAGACCAAAAGTTATTTATGTATAATTGTCTATAGTTTGTTTCATTTTATTTAGAAAACCTATTAGTATAAGGACTGATTAGTTACATTTCCCATTAACCGGTAGGTCCTTTAACGGATTTTATCCCTTTATTGGATTGATAAGAAGAAAGATATCGTTGTTTCACCGGTAGGTCCTTTAACGGATTTTATCCCTTTATTGGATTGATAAGAAGAAAGATATTGTTGTTTCACCGGTAGGTCCTTTAACGGATTTTATCCCTTTATTGGATTGAAAAGAAGAAAGATATCGTTGTTTCACCGGTATGTCCTTTAACGGATTTTATCCCTTCATTGGATTGAAAAGAAGAAAGATATCGTTGTTTCACCGGTAGGTCCTTTAACGGACGTTATACCTTTATTGGATTGAAAAGAAGAAAGATATCGTTGTTTCGTTTTACGGATTTTATCCCTTTATTGGATTGATTAGAAGAAAGATATCGTTGTTTCACCGGTAGGTCCTTTAACAGACTTTATCCCTTTAATGGATTGAAAAGAAGAAAGATATGTTGTTTCCTTTTACGGATTTTATCCCTTTATTGGATTGATAAGAAGAAAGATATCGTCGTTTCACCGGTAGGTCCTTTAACGGATTTTATCCCTTTATTGGATTGATAAGAAGAAAGACATCGTTGTTTCACCGGTAGGTCCTTTAACGGACTTTATCCCTTTATTGGATTGAAAAGAAGAAAGATATGTTGTTTCCTTTAACGGATTTTATCCCTTTATTGGATTGATAAGAAGAAAGATATCGTTGTTTCACCAATAGGTCCTTTAACGGACTTTATCCCTTTATTGGATTGATAAGAAGAAAGATATCAATGTTTTTTTTTTTAAAACATCAGATTATTTTAATTTTTACCGTCTCTGCTGCAAAATTTCCCAGGTACCTTTTAATCTAACAAGACACTGTCTAGGTTGATGTGGATTAACAAGACAATGTCTAGGTTGATTTGGATTAACAAGACACTGTCTAGGTTGATGTGGATTAACAAGACACTGTCTAGGTTGTTGTGGATTAACAAGACAATGTCTAGGTTGATGTGGATTAACAAGACACTGTCTAGGTTGTTGTGGATTAACAAGACAATGTCTAGGTTGATGTGGATTAACAAGACAATGTCTAGTTTGATGTGGATTAACAAGACAATGTCTAGGTTGATGTAGATTAACAAGACAATGTTTAGGTTGATTTGGATTAACAAGACACTGTATAGGTTGATGTAGATTAACAAGACAATGTCTAGGTTGATGTGGATTAAAAAGACAATGTCTAGGTTGATGTAGATTAACAAGACAATGTCTAGGTTCATGCAGATTAACAAGACACTGTCTAGGTTGATGTAGATTAAAAAAAAAACAATGTCTAGGTTGATGTAGATTAACAAGACAATGTCTAGGTTGATGTAGATTAACAAGACACTGTCTAGGTTGATGTGGATTAACAAGACACTGTCTAGGTTGATGTAGATTAAAAAGACAATGTCTAGGTTGATGTGGATTAACAAGACAAATGTCTAGGTTGATTTAGATTAAAAAGACAATGTCTAGGTTGATGTGGATTAACAAGACACTGTCTTGGTTTATGTGGATTAACAAGACAATGTCTAGGTTGATGTGGATTAACAAGACAATGTCTAGGTTGATGTGGATTAACAAGACACTGTCTAGGTTGATTTAGATTAACAAGACAAATGTCTAGGTTGATGTAGATTAACAAGACACTGTCTAGGTTGATGTAGATTAAAAAGACAATGTCTAGGTTGATGTAGATTAACAAGACACTGTCTAGGTTGATGTGGATTAACAAGAAAATGTCTAGGCTGATGTGGATTAACAAGACAATGTCTAGGTTGATGTAGATTAACAAGACAATAGGATGAGATCACCATGTATAGAGAGTACCACATATGGAGAAGCTAGGGAGCTGATGCCCGAGAGAAAGAGATCACTCTCACCTAAGCCTTCGGCTTGAGAAGACATATAGTCGGACGTGTGTCCTGAATTTTATTATCTATATTTTTAATTGATTGATTAAATGATTAAAATGGATGTTCCACGGTGGACTAAGCCAGTGGGGTCGGTCAAATAGGCCTAGGATTAGGCCGGGTACTGAAAAAAAATCGGAATGCGCCATGGGAGTTGTCATAGTTAGTACTGTACCATAGGATCGGGTCAGTACACGCTGTTTTCTGGCAGGCCGGTACAAACTGGGCAGGTCCTGTTCGAATTAAAATTTACTACGGGGATAGAGTGGTTTATGAACGAGTGAGACATCAATCATCGCAGACAAATTAGTCTATAATATAATATTTTTTTTTAACATGTTTTGTCCGGGTTATTAAGTTATTATAATAAAACGGTTTCTTCTTCTGACTGAAACAATTTGTGAAATATTACAATAGATTTTACGCTATTATTAAAAAGTTGTACAACGTAAAAATGTCTCATTGGTATTAAATGAATCCTAAAGTTTTCCTATTCTGTCAGCTCACAACTACCATGTGTAGCCAGTCTCTCCCTTTAAGACAAAAAGTTGACGGAAAAGTTTGTTAAAGAGGTTTGAACTGCAAAAAGTGTAAAAAGTGTAAAAAGCGACCTATTTTCCTCTGTATACTCTCTCCCTGGGGAGTTCGTATATCCGGGCCTCCTTTCAACTTTACCTCTAATAAAATATTGTATATTCAACACAGAGACACAGTTTTATCAAATTTTTTTTATAAAAAATAAAGAAAAAACCCAAGTATTAAAAAAAATTTGAAATTAACTGAGTTTTTGCCACAGACTCTGATTTTCTAGTTTCTGCATCTTTACAATTTATTGTCGTACATCTTTGATATTTCAAACTATAAATTCTAATAGATCAAAATAATCTAAGTTTGAAGTATTGAAAGATTACACACTCAGGTTACAATGATATAGAAGATTTGTTTGAAAAACTCAGTTCCTTTAAAATTAAAAAAGTTTTACTCATTAAGTTAACAAGATATTTAACCATGCTTTTCACATGGATTCACACGCTTAGGCCACAGTCTTATGCCACAAACTAAAATTTTCTAATCCGACAGAATTCATAGTTTCTAAAGTCTACGCCATTGGGTTATACATTTATAGGGATTAGAAACTCAAAGCTTATGGAAAAGCCTCAATTCCTTTACAATATATTTACAAATCTAGATAAATAGGGTTGTGTCCAAAGAAAAACCTAGAAAAAAGGACTTTTTTCCATTGTGAATCATGCATTTTCACTTGAGGACTTTTTTTCCGAGGACATTTTGTATAAAATCATACTGGAGCCAGAAAAAAAAGAAAAAAAGAAAAAAGAAAATAAAGTCTCGAATTTGTAGGACTTTATTTCCGGAGACTTTTTAATAAAAGGACTTTTTTCTACAGGACTTTTTTAGTGTGAAATTTTAGGACTTTTTTTCGGAAACTTTTTTTCCAAGGACTTTTTTGGCGGTTTCCGTACGCTAATCCTTCACTAATTGTACAGGCTGCACACTCCACTTGCCCAAATTGATTGTAAAAACCGAACAATCTACGAAAATAATAATAATAATAATAATATTTGATTGTCTATCAATGGTTCGAAGAAAACTGAATAAAATTTAAGATACAAAACCTCCCCACACAGAAAGCGCACTGAATAATTAATGTTTGTATGATTAGGCCAAAATCTCCTTACATCCTTAATATCAGTAAACTATTTAAATTGTACACTCTAAATAGCAGGGTAGGTCCCCCAAGATATATCCATGGTAGTACAATTTGGTATGAAAGATTATGATAGGGTGGTAAAAGGCCAAAATATAGATATATGTACATACAGTACGATAAAGAGGTTAATAAATGCTGCTGGGTCAAAATATCATGAATCTACAGTATAGAAACAAGTCCCTTTGATACATTGGATTGATTTTTGTGCACAAAATATACATGCAATGATGCAAAAAAAACTGCGCAGAAAATGTGACTAAATTTCTGTCCATACATATTTAATTTTTATTTTAATTAGATAATTAACAATTTTTGCGAAAGTCTTCGAAGTATGGAATTTGCTAAATTGTTCCATTAAATTTAAGAAAAGTTATAGAATTTTCTTGGTTTTAAGTTAAGGCCTATAGAGAATCCATCCGACTGGAAAATTGTAATTTCCCTCCCCCCTCCCCCCCTCCTTACACTTTTTCTTTCCAAGTTTTCTGTGACTGAGTGAAGGTGTCAGACCAATGAAATTAAAATTTGGCCCAATCAGATAGGGAATGGACGATTCGATTACGATGAATTTAAAGTGATGTTAGGTGGCGAGAGCAAACCTTTCATTTAAACATATTTAAACATTTTAGCAAACATTTTTATGAACTGAAGTTCTAGGAATATTTTCTTGTTCCTAGATTTTATATTGTAACAGGAGAGAAATTTAAAATCTGTTCTATTTCATAGATTCTTACAGTGAAACATTGGGGAATGATAAAACGACTCTTGCACTCAAGTTCTGATCTTTAAACCTCTAAAGAAACATCAGAAATTGCAATTATATACTGTACAGCAAATAGAGTCTAGTACAATAGATGGCAACGTAGAATGTGTACACTCTCAGTACAGCTGTATTCTGACGTCACAAGTGTCAACTTAGTTTTTGTGTCCGACAAAATTATTAATAATAGTGAGAATTTTAGAAAGAATAAAATTTCTTATCTAACAGTAAAATAAGTGCAATTTTGTGTTCTTTATTTTCTGTTTTACACTTTTTTATTTAAACTTAACATTTCAACTAATGTAAGAAAATTTCGTTTTCCTAGTTATATTTGACACATGTGACGACGTGTATAATTGGTCCATTTCTCTGTTGCCACCTATTGTACTTGATAATCTATTTGGTGTACACAGGAAAATTTCACTTAATACGTTTTTAGCAATTGGGGACACAATATACATTTAACATAAGATTTCTTAACAATCGTCTTCTCCTTCTTCAGTTTTCTGGGGACAACAGTATGAACACAAAGAAAGTTACAACCAAGGTACTAATGCAAGAAAAGTTATTTCTGAGATGTACGCATTTTTTGTACTGCAGTGTACTGTCTTTGGGCGTAAAAGTAAACACAAGACGGATGTCACAGCCTGACATGGAATTCATTTTCACAAAAATAATCTATGAAATATTCTGGTCAAAGGAAACTATTATGTGAATTTTCAAAATTATCAAAATTAAATGCTTTAAACCTCCTCAGTCCTCGGATACTAAACGAACACTGATGCATCTATTTTTGTTTACAAAGTCCCCCTAGTGAGAACTGGTTTCAATATGTACGCAGAGTATACGCAACCGCAATTAACTTTCCTTACATAAGTTCCTTGGTTACAACTATATATAATTCGGTTTTTTAGTTTGCCAGCGAGAATACCAGCCGCATAATAGTTTTAAAAATTCATAATTTTCTTAACAGAAACTCATTAATTGTCCTTTAAAGTATTTTATATCTTTTATTCGTTTTCCAACATTAGGACAGAGGT